ATTTGAAAATTAAAAAAAAACAAGGAATACCAATCAAAAAAAAAAGTGATATTTCCACTGTGCTTAACTGCAGGAAAGAAACAATAGTTTTAGATACCTGAGACAAGATTACATGACATCTTTCTACCCATTTCTAGGTTGTTCTCATGCTGTGGGCACAGAATCATTCACATATAGGACAGCCCTGTTTTCTAAGAGTTGGGGCCTACTTTCAGCTCACCACTGGATTGCACCAGCAAACAAGAACTGGTCAGGTGCAGTGGCAGGTAGCTAATAAAATATTTTTTAAAGATTTAATTCTTTATATTTTCAATGTCTAGAATAGTACCTGACCCAATCTCACTTGATTCTGTAGAATAAGAAAATTAAACACATGCACAAGATGATTCCAAATTCAGGTCAATCTTTAGCTTTTGCTATCCTGTGTGGTGTTCTTTTTTTTTTTACACAGTGTCTTATTCTGGAGCCCAGGATGGCCTGGAACTCACTATGTAGCTCAGGCTGACCTCAAACTTCCAACAACTTTCCTGCCTCACTCAGCCTCCCAAGTGCTGTGATGAGGTGTCGGGGATCCTGCCCCAACACAGGAGCAGGGGAAAGAGAGATGAGCTGTCCGCCAGTTACCTGCAGCCTCCCCCAGAGACAATCAGATGCTACAGGGAGCCAGTCAAGCAAGAACTCATTTATTGCAGGCTTTTACAGGGCTTATGAAGGCAAAAACCACAAAGAAAAATCCCCTCCCCAACCAAGTGTCCAATCATATTAAAGGTCAACTTGAACATGCAGTCTCCTCTCCATAGCACAGCATAGCATTCACAAAGTGATCACACACTGCCAAGATGCACGGAAATGACAGGAGCCAATTAGCGATTCTTCAAAACAAGTCTGGCCATGTTCCGGCCATTTCCTCTAGGCGCCAAACAAGTCTGATCATGCCCGGGCCATTTCCTCTAGGCGCAGTCCTGCCTCACCCCTGGCCTCAGGCCCCTGCAATGAGGGATGTCAAAAGTTGCACTGTAAATATAGTCAAATACACATGGATGGAGAGGTCATAGATCTTAGGAAAAAACCCTATCTCTGTCATATCTCTGGACAAATTTCTTGCTGTACACTAAATATGGAGCCATATGTTTACAGACAAGTATACCATATGTCACTCATCAAAAAAGGTTTATTTTTGCAACAGATGGAGAGGCTATTACAGAGTTCTACAACTGGTCACACATAGAGACTATATGTCTGAGAGATGCCCACTCCATAGTGACACGTCTACAGTAGAACTGCTACACCTAAGGCTCACAGACCATAGCAGAACAGGGGTAGAGAGAATACTAATACATCCCTCAACTCTCACTAGTGAAGCTTCCTCGTACAACAGAGTGTGCAATGCATATATAAGGCCACAACTTGCCAAGTTTTAGAAAATAAGAGACTGCAGACTGTGTGTTTCTGGATAGGACTCCCTATTAAACTTCACCCACCCATAACTCAAGGATCATTGTGGAAGAGGAGGCAAAAAGATTGTAAGAGCCAAGGTTGATACATAAACATAAGGAAACAGGCTTTCAGGCCACTGGGAACTGCTCATATGAACTTGCAATAATGGGGATAGCATGCACAAGATCCATGACTACTGAATCAGACAAAAAAAAACAGCATAGAATGAGAGAAATGAGCAGTAGGCCCCAACCTTAGCCTGGGAACTATTGGCAACTGATTACTGCTAGGTGAGGAAGAGTAGATCTTCTTTAAGACAATGACTCTAGATAGGCTGACTAGACTCCAGTGGATGAATTTGTACCAAAATGCATCTGAGTATAAATGCTTGACTGGATAGGACTTGACATATATGACAGGATATATAAAATCTGGTTGGGGGGGTTATGGAGAGAGGATACAGACAGAGGAGAGGTCTAAATTTGATTATCATATACTATTATATGAAATGCACAAAAACAATTTAAAAATATTTTAAAAGTTGATATGTTTCAACCTATCAATATAACATTTGGGCACAATGCTTAAATTTTTAAACAAGTTGTATTTAAAAAAAACTTTGTTAGAGCTCCTGCATACAACAGTATAATTACAGCCCAGGCAAGTGAGTATTTATAGTAACATTCATTCCAAATTCCAGTCAGCCTGCATTGTATGTATAGTCAGAACCTTAGAAACCTGAACTCAGTGTATTCATATACAGGAGGGAAAATTTTATTTCCTTTTTCCTCCTTTTATATCATTGTATCCAGAAACACTGGAGTGAAGGATCCATTGAAATGTAACTAAAAATTAATAATAGTTATCATAACTGATCATAATACAGGATAACGTTCCTTCATTTAATTTATTAGAACAAGATAAACTTTATTTAATTTATTAGAACAAGATAAGCTCTGGAAATTACAATTTCTTAGCTTTTATAAAGATAATGCATATTGCACATGTTGTATATTACATTGTTTCTCACATAGGGAGCAGCTGAAACTCAAATATACTATATTTCCATAGGAAAATATTGGAAATGTTCCCAATACATACAATATTATATACAGAGATAACTCATGGATTTATACTAATTCAGATCAAGAACATCACAAAATTAGGTCAGGTAAAAAGTTTTACTACCAAGAAATTTAGGTATTAGAGTAATAACATATAAGATATAATACAAACATGCATGCTTATGCAATAAAGGACAAAATAAAATAAATGGTATCTTTATTTTTTATTTTGTGTGTATGAGTATATTGCCTGCATGTATGTAAGTGCACATTGCCCACAGAGAACGGAAGAAGGTGTTAGATCCCCTGGAACTGGAGTTTACGGTCAGTTGTTAACCACCGTACGGATGCTGGAATATGAACCTGTGTCTTCTCCAAGAACAGCCAGTGCTCTTAACCACTGAACCATCTCTCCAGTCCTAAAGGATACTTTTTAAAATGTGAGCAAAAAGAATTAAACCAAACATCTAGAAATGAAAACTATAATGAACTGAAGACAGAAAAAGGATCACACATAGCGACAGAAGAACACATGAAAAGTGATTGATAGACATGGAGAAGACAGTGAAGGACTGCAATAAACGGCAACTATGGGAAGAAATCCTGAGGAAAATAGCGAGAATGAAGAAACACTGTTTTAGGAGATACATTTTGAGAAAACTCCATTATTGATGAAAAATACAAATGTTCAGATTGAAAACATCAGAATGGAATACAAGAGCTGAAATGAGATGCTCCCCGTGGTGACTCACTTGCATATTTAACAGGCAGAGAATACAAGAGACAAATTTGGGACTGGAGAGCCGGATATCAGCAGTTACAGCACTGACTGCTCTTGCAGAGGACCGGGATTTGGTTCCCAGCACCCGCATGATGACTAACAACCATCAGTAACTCCAGTTCCAGGGAATCCTATGCCGTCTTCTGGCCACTTCAAAATTGTGTGAACATGAGAAGGTAACCAACTTCATTGATTAAATGAGAAGGACTGCAAAATGGAATAATGTGAAAACTATAAGGAACCAAATACATATGAATATAAAATTTTAAAGTTCAGTAGAACAGCTTGCTAAGGCTGAAGTGGAAGAATGGAAGGAGGGAAAGAGGCATCTAGAAACACAGCTAATGAATGGGCTTTCTGAGCAGTGATTCAGTTAGCAACTATTGAGCATGTACTGTGTATGACCACAATTAATCCACTACTGCCCTCACTACCCAAGGCAGGAGGAAAAGAACTACACGGTCTACAAAATGGAAAGAGATACATGCCAAGGGAAACAAACAGAGCCACAGACACCTGTGAGACACAGGAAGGCAAACATTCGCACATAGTAAGAGTCCAAGGACCCAAGTAATGAGAAAGCCAAAAGGAATGTTGAATAAACAACGGACAGAAACTTCCCAGCTTGTATGAAAAATATTTATTTACACCTCTAAGAAAACTCACAAACTAATAAAAATTTACACTTAAGATATCATCATCAAACTGACCAAAAGACAGAGAGAAGTGACCCACCACATACAAGGGATACTCAATCACATTAACAGCTGCATCTCATCTAAAACTGCAGAGGCTGTATGACAGCGTGATGACAGATTGCCTAGATAAAAATCCCATCAGCCAAGGAATCTAAATCCACCAAAAATAGGAGCAATAAAGACATTCCAGGTAAATAAATAGATATTACCTATAGCACTTTTCCCTGAAAAAAAAAAAAAAAAACTGAAGACTGCCTGAATGAATTGAAATTTGACTATAACGCAACCCAACTGCAGAAATAAACATCGACTGTAAAGATACCTACAGAAAATTAATTTGGGGCTGGAAAGATGGCTCAGCAGTTAAGAACACTGGTACTCTTGCAGAGAACCCGGGTTAAATTCCCAGCACCCACATGGAGGCTAATACTCATCGGTAACTCTCTTCACAAAAGTAAATCTTTTAAAGAAAAAGAAATAATATATCCTTTACTTGGGTTTATTTTTGTATATAATGGATTTTATCATCTAAAATACTCCATAATATAATTTCATTTATCAAATACCTATATCTTCCCACTAGAATGTCAGAGGGCTATGCACCTGGATCACAAATTCCTGGTACCTAGAGATGTGTGGTAAACAAGACTCAACAACATATTGGGAGGGGTAGGTGCCATGTAACCCAGGTTAGTCTCTAACCCAGTGTGTAGCAGAGGGTGACCTTAATCTCCTGATCCCACTGCTTCCTACCTCTGAGTGTTAACATTACATGTGTACTCCACCAGGCCCACTTTGTGTACTGCTGGGAGTTGAACTCAGGGCATCATGCAGGCTGGGCAGTACTCTACCAATAGAGCTACAGAGTTACATCTCCAGGCCTCAGTAAGGACATTTTTGAGTGAATACTAAATTTTACCTTTTCCACATGCTCAAAATAGGCTAGAGATGCCAGAGTTCCTACAACACTATCAATTCCTTTCCTAACTGGATGGCAGATCCTGCTTTCTCTTCACAAGTTTATTCTTATTCTGATTTGCCTTTCCTCTTCAAATCCCATTCCCATATTAAAAATCTTGAAATAATTATTCAGATTCCTCTTCAGAAAAACATCTTGCACTGCCCAAGGGCCCTTCTTTCATATTATGCTAATATGTCAGTGTTGAGAGCGCCCAGCCTTTGTGAAGCCATTAGTCAGTGTTAAGACCCTTTTCACAAGGTGAAGCCTTGTCGCTTCCTGTATCTGTTCTATATGTTTCTTTGAATCTGCTACTTTTCCTCTAATGT